AACACTGACAGCATACACAATCAACGCACATCAATCCGCTATAGCACTTTTTGCGCTCAATAGTTCCGCCAGTCTCTTGGCAACTGGATCTGTTAAGGTATGCTTGTTGATAAGATATCATGTCTTTATATTGGGATTCCCATTTTTTTAGGTGCTGAAAATGGCCATAGCCAAATGACCAAAGCTTAAGCTGTTATATTTATTAGTTTATTGAATTATCTTAAAATACATCATATTTCAGGGGACGGTGATACGGCTTTTCGACACAAAAACAACAGGGCAGTTGCGAGAATTCAGACGTGGCGCCGATCCGGCCAATTTGCATTGGTTAGTTTGTAAAATGTTTAGCTGACCAGCAGCAGCAGCACTGTTTAACAGTTCTTTTTTCCTTGTTTGCAGTGAACTGAACAAAGTGGCATGCACCGTCGCAGCAGTAGAACAGTTTTCTTGGCTTTAATTTTACTGTATTTTCAGTTTGCGTTTTTCGCCATGTTCTAGTTTTCTGGCAGTTTCAAGCGACAAGGATACCGTGCATATTTTTGCTGTGAAAAACGATCCAAACTGGGCAAACAGGAAGACAGTGTATGTTTCTTCAAAGCGGTGAATCATTACTAGAATATATTATTAGGTGAAATAATGCGAGGCGAGAGAGGAATGACAGAGATGAAGTACGAAGGGAGAAAAAGGACTTGTCCATGATAGTTCAGTATCAGTTAACTCCTGTCATCCGAGTTAGAAATTACGCTGATACAAATAGAAGTTTGTGGTGGTCCAAATCAGTTCTTCCATAACAGGACAAAAATTTTAAAAAAACCAACAGAAGCTTTATTCCGCGAAAAAGTCTAGGTAGTTCAGTGTGCTGCTCTGCATGCAAAAGACCTTTCACTGTGAAAGTGTGCGATGCGATGTAGCCTGTATGTTTAAGAAAATTTCAACGATGTATTTGCTATTTTGTTTGTTTTGCAGTTGGCAGCAAGTTGGTTTCATAGCCGAAGAGACGCGCCGTGCTTGCGTACAGCTGAAACTCTCCAGAGCAACTCAGTCAGCCACTCGTACAGAATTGGCTTTTTTAACGGCCGGCATTAACGAAGCGAGTGAATTAGGCTCTACAGAATCTCTGCGAACAGCGCAAGGCCGTTGTGGTCTACGCACTTATGTATGCCGTTTGAAATTTCGTTGTTTCCATTTCTGTTAAAATGAATTTTTGATCTCCTCTGCTCATATGACGCTTATTTTCATCATCTGTTACGCTGTTGAGGGTGGGGAGAAACACCGGAAAGTACTGGCGAATGGAAGTCTCGAAGAAACTGGATAATTATTACTACGATTTTATGAACCGAATCATTTCAGCTTTTTTTTAAAAAAAAATTTTTTTTTGCTTTCAATCGCTTCCTACTTGTATTATAATATTTTTTCATTGTTTAAGACTTAATTTAAAGTTCAACTAATTAAAATGGCTGGACTTTTGGGTCATTCGTCTTTTCCCTTTTGTTTTGTTTCCGAAGCAGAATAGCAAAAGCCAGTTCTAAAAAATTATGCGACTTCATTGCCGATTTCCTTTTTCCTCCAGTTATATATGTTTTTAACTCTCCCAGACGAGCTTAGGAGAGAGGAGGAAAGAGGATGGGTGCTTCCTTTTTGCAGTGATGGAGACACCCGATTCATCTGTGTGAGAAGTTTAGTTTTGAAAGATGTATAATTTTTGTCAAAGGGATGGAAAATCTAGCCGGAAAGGAAATAGTGCATTAAAGAATAGTCAGAATGGTAAAGAAATGTATGTTACAGATTTTTTATGTATAGGAATCGGAAAACCAAGGAAGAAAGGGGAGAAAGAAGCGCCAATGAACCTAAGGAGGCAAAATAGAAAGATGTTCCATTCCAAATACTGGCTTGTGTCTTCACCGCGCCCAGATATTCAACAGAGACGATGAGCTTCTTAGAATCAGAGGATCTTCTAGCCGTTTTCTCATTGTGACTTGCAGAACTTGTTTTTTTTATTGAAATGAAAAGCTGATTTTTCAGACGATGGCGGCGATTTGTGATGACGGAAGCTATCACTTGTTCTCG